GTGCTCTGTTTGTCAATGACATGTTTGAAGGCACCAGGGGGCACACGCCAGTCCAGAGCCTGCAGTCTTTCTTGGGTAGCTGCATCATGGAGGATCTCCATTTGCTTGGCTATTAATCGTTCCAGCTGTGTCTGCATTAAATGGAGGCAGTAAAAAAATTTAAAATACTCTATTACCCTCCTTTAATGTACTCAATAGTGGTCAGTCATATTCTGTCTTCCAAAAGATGTAACCCTAGATCTGAGATCCTATCTGAGTAAAACTGATTGTGAGTGTGTGTTTGTACCCTGTGATGGACCGGTATCCAATCCAGGGCGTATCCTGCCTTGTTCCCATTGCTTGCTGGAATAAGTACTGGCTCGCCCGTGACCTTGTGCTGGATAAAATGGTTAAAAAAAATGGATGGATGGCCAATTTAAATGTAATTTTTTTCATTCCATATTTTAGTATTTTCTTGGTCTTTTCATATGCTTTCCCACACAGTCTAGATGCACATGATAACTTAACACACTTAAATCACAGTTTTTTTTTGCTTTCAGATAGGTTTGTTTATACAAACTGCAAATTATCATTTTAACTTGTCTACATTAAATTCTATTAAAAAATAAACTGTTTTATTTAATGGATGGAATGTATGGAAGCTTATTAGTGCCATAAAGAAACAAAAATATTGTTTATACGAGGAAATGACTGAGTTTATACAAATAGTATTGCGTTTAAACAAGAAAATGTATTGCATTTAAATGCAATAGTTAATTTGTGAACAAGGTTGCCTACTATATTAATATATTGCATTATATATGTAACAATATTGTTCCATTCAAAGTAGCATCAACTTTAAGAACAGTAGAATATCTTCATACTCCTCATTTTGGAAAAAAAATAATCTAAAGGAGCCAACTTTCTGTCTTTGGTATACATGAAGTACAACACCATGTCAGTAACATTCCCAGGTTAAACGCGTATTGCTTTCTGTGGAATGACATGGCTTTCCAAACATATGTTATTTATGTGAAACTGCAGAAACATTTACTATACATAGGTTTTTGCCTACTCTTTAAACATTAAATGGAAAGAATTTATGATGACTTGATAGTAAGATTTACATCAACATCAATTATTGATGGTGACAGTAAACCACAAGCCAACAATATACAAACTGTATAAGAGGTTGTGTGCCTTACTGGAATTCATCTTCTTTTTGTTTGGCATTACCCTATCTATTTACATTCATGTCTGTGCAAACGGACACATAAATACTTTCTTCTCCCTTCAATTACACTTTTCCTGCATTTTGCTGTGTAATTCTAAATTCAAATGTAATTGATGTCAGCTTACTGTAGTCTAAAACCTTTTGAAGTTTTTGTGCTAAAAGATTCAACAAGTGACCAACAATAACAGTAACAGAAAGCCAACAGTAGGTATTAAGTCTGACTGATAAGTCATCGTAAACGTATTCCGTCCAATGTTTCAAATTTGTCAGCAAAAACACAGGTATAGAACATGGGCTTTTGCCATAATCCTACAAAGTGATATCTTGTATTTTGCTTCTTATTCATTTTAGTTGATGATATGAGTGAATGTTGCAAAAAAAGGAAAAATAAACCTGGTCACACTTAATTTGTAATACCATTCATTATATTTCCAAGTATCCATATGCCTCAATATTGCGATGGGGACGCTATAATGTAAAAAGGCTCTTTCCCTTGGAAAAAAACGATGTCCTGACTCTCTGTGGTCATTGAAAAACCCAGAGAAAAGAGTAAGGGTGTTACCCCAGCTTCCTTGCCAAATTTCTCATTGGTCTTTACCACTCAGGGCTGCCTTAGAAATCCCATCTATGAATTAGCATTATATCTATGTTCTCCGCCCCACTGAAAGCTGATTTGTGGTGAGGAGAGTACACACTATGGCTGCTGTCGCATCATTCAAATGGATGCTGCACATTGGGTGTGGAGGGGAGTCCCTATTACCTATAAAGTGCTTTGAGTGGAGCATCCAGAAAAATGTTATGTACAGTAAGTGTAAGGAATTATTATTATTATTAGTAGTAGTACTTTATAATAATAACACCCCACTTTAAATCTTTTGCTGTTTGACCATGCTATCTGGCTCTGTATTGCCTGCCTGTATCCAGCTGCTTGCTCGTCAGTCTGCCTGTCTTTTCACAATCACCTACTCGCCTGCCTGCTTATACTCTGCTGCCTGCTCTTCAGTCTGCATGCATTAGGATTCATCATCAGTCTAGACTGCTGCACCCCTTCAGGTTCTACAGTGGTTATGACATCTCACCAGAGATGTACAAAATTCTGCTGCATCCATTCTTTAACATCATATAAGCCACATGACAATGGTGGATTAATATTGGCTTTCATTACATTTTGGAGAGCACTTTAATTGACTAAAAAGTGTCATAGAGAATGTCATAGGCATAGAGAAGTCACATTTGGCTTTTCCCATAGAAATTAGGATGTGTGATATCACTTTCATGAATCCAAACGTCTCCCATCTCCTCCAAGTGAATATCCTATATTGTCTTTTCCTGCATTTGCACCAAATGTTGCAGGCTATTGTTGTTTTATTTGTTTGTATTTCTAAGGAATATAAAATGACAGTTTCACTGTCTTGTAAAGTATAACGCAGTAACATTTGTGAAAGTTAAAAATACACTTATCATTACTAACCTAATAACATCAAGTGTACATCATATGCTCTTTATTTGTTAATCCTACAATCTATAGGAGAATCTATGTGTAAAAGCTGTCAAATTTCTGTAATTTAATGGTGTTTAATGGAAAGGAGTTATAGGCACCACGATGGAGTGGTTCTCTACAACTTTCACTTTAAATATTTTTTTAGTCTGTATTGTTTTTTTAGCTGCCATGTATTACTGTTAATCACATATAGTACAATACACTTCAGTGGTATATGTATTCCCCACTATCCATGATGGAAATGGTTTGCACATAAAAGACAGGAGAGTTCTGAGATCAAGAGACTGACATCACATGCCCACATTTCATGTGGACAAAGCTGAATATGTCTTCTCTAGGCTTCTGACATTTTTGGTTTTAATTATTAAACACTGCACTGCATAACATGATTCTTGAGCACAAATACAGCTTAGACTATTAATACTAATAATGAAGTGGAGTGATTAGTGTTAATATTAATGTGTTATGATACAGTGCTTAGCCCTTTAATATCATAAAACCATATTAAGAATATAACAAATGAAGAAATAGGGGGCACCGGAAGATAAAGATTTGCCCTTTACCTTCTTTAACATGTCCAAAGCCATCTCACATCATTGAAATTAGTTACATAGTTTTAGGTCCAATAACAAATGGGCACAAACTGTAATCTTGTTTGGGCGAGGCCCTAAATAGCCAACTGTAAATGGTGTTCATCTAAGTACTGTGAAGTGGGGACAGACCTTGATTTACACACATTACTGTATCTACATTACTTAAAAGGAAACAAAAACAACAGTATCAAAAATTGTCATGCTATTTGTTTTATTCACCTGGATATTTCTGCTAATAGTTTCCTCGCCTTTTGACTTTGCGTGTGCCAACTGCTCTTTCAAAGACTCCTGCCTCTGTTGTATGGTCTGCAGTGCCTCCTGAATATCAAAATAACCTTCCTGAAAAACATAAAAGGGAAAAAAGATCAGCTATTAGATAAACTAAAGCCAAGTATTTGTGCATAATTACTGCTGCTTCAAGCACAGGCTCAATGAATAGTGTGATGTTATATAGTGCATTCTATGATGCTTCAATCCATGCTCATTAGTTGCTTCACTGTCGATACTGACATTTACACCCTTTACAAATGCTTCAGCAATTCAATTAGTCACCAGGGATTTTAACCCTTACACTAAACCACCTGTAGAGACTGTATTAGTGAGATAAGAGCTCGTTACAGTGTGAAAATCACTCCTTGTTGTATGGTAATTGATAATGGAGTGTACTATGAATTTAACAGTTTCAAGTGGGTTTCAAGAAGTCTGGGCTGTCACTTCAACTCTAAGCCAGTTGAAAGGAATAGTATTGCTGTTGGTCCTGTTGCTTTTATGATAGGTACAGTGTGATTTGCTAAAATACAGAATGACGTATCACATTTAGCAGTCATCAAAAGACATAAGTGAATCATACCATCTACTCGTAACCCCACTGACCCCTACCCAACCTAGCCATCCCAAAAAAACACTGGGTTTACTGTGGTGAAAACTTTCAGTTACAAGGCATGTAAACATGTTTGTGTGTTGAAGCCTGGCTTTGGCCTGGGATACTGTCAGCAATTTGTTAATTAACACAGTTTGACAATTTATTAAAATAAATTATTGAGGATTTATAGAACAAAATGTAAACATAAAATACTTGATGAATAATACCTTGATTGGGGATTCGTCCAAATATTTAAGGACTGGTCCATTCAAAATAAAAAACAGTAGTTGAATTCCTAAATAAATTCAACTAGTAATAAGTAAGTAAAAACAAAAAAAATACCAGAAAGAAAGTATTAGTATTACCCATCAATAAACACATTCTTGATGATTAATCACTTTTAACTTAAGTATCTTAATTTCCAAACAGATAGTAAAAGTGGAAGAAAGCAAACGAGAATTGCCTTTTTTACTAGGAGTTATGGTTGTCTTCAACTGAAAACGCAGTTTCAAAATGAACTAGCTTTTATTCATCTTCAAGAGCACAGATTACGTAAGGCATTTTTCAACTTCTGGATTTAAAATGCACAGGTATTTCTTCTTCAGCACCTTTTTATGTTAGGGAGAATATCCATTCATCCATCCATTTTCTGACCATTTCATCCAATATAGGGAGCTAAAGCTTATCCTGAAAAGCAATTGGCACAAGGTATGATACAACCTGGATAGGATACCAGTACATTATAGGGTACACACAAACAACACACACACATTCAGACCAGAAGCTAATTAGCCTACTAGCACAATTTTGGACTTTAGGAGATAGCTGGAGCTCCTGGCGGAAACCCATGCACACAGGCAGAACATACTGTATGCAGATAGAACCCCAGGAATTGAACCTAGTGCCCCACCATTGTGATGCAGCAATGATAACTACTGCACGACTGTGCTACTTATTAGGGAGCAAATGTGTTGTATTTATAAAATAATTAATCTTTTTTAAAATTCAGTCACTAATTTCAAAATTTAAAGTAGAATTTGAAATTCCTACTTTTTTCTAATTTTTTTAATTGTGCTTCCTGTATATTGGTTGAAAGACTGGAACCTGCTTATATATTAAAGGTATTATATCTGTATTATACCTCAACTATACAAATACCTAATTTTTTAACACTTGAATACCTAATTTTTTAAAATATCTTTCCCTAATTTTTACTAATATCTTTCATCACTCCCTTTGTCTATAATATTCATCCTGTCAAAAAAGTCATTAGGTAAAGTTCAAGCCAACTCAGAACATCCTGGGAATAAATGGGCACAAGGAAGGACTACAGCAGTCTCATAGAATGGTATACACTCTTAAACATATCCTCCATTTGGGAATCTTATTGCAACACACCTCCTGAATTTTCAAGGTAGCTAAACCTCATTTTTAGAGTAAAAAGATTTAAATCCACTAGGTATATGATCACTTGAACAGATTCCTAGGGGATTTGTGTGCGGCATTGAAAGTTCTTCATCATGCCATGGGTAGATTGTATGGTGTTAACAGACTGTAATCTGCAATCATCTGTAAATACACATTTCATCTGTAAATACATATTGTAATTTTTACCAGGGTGACTTGCAAAGGATTTATAAGAACAAAAAACAAAACTTTAATTCTGGTTTAGGTGAGTTATGAAGATCTCTCATTTTTAATATTCAGTTAGATTTTAATAATTTATCACCTTTTCTATCCAAAATATTAATTGTATTCTTATTTTTTATGCCTTAGCAATACTGCTTTCATTTATTGAGGGTGCTAAGTAAGAAGAACATTTCAACAGATTTGTAGCCAACATTATGGTTTCTAGGATTTGTCACATCTCACCTAAGAGCCATGTACCACATGAAAAGTGTCGTATGTCACAAGAGCCCAAGAGACCACAGGGGTTGTTGTGTTGTTGAGAGAGGAGAGAGCCCTGGATGACTAACCCCCTAGTCATAATTTGTGGCTGAAACCTGCACTGCAAGAGCTAAACATGCACTTGGGTAAGTGTCTTTACCAGCCGAGCCACTCGGTACCCAACTATATTTCTGTCAAACCAATACATAGAGTGAAACTGGTTATGGACTTGTTCATTTATTAAAATCACCTTTTTAAGGTTCACATTCACTCCTGAAAAATGATGGTGTTTTTGAATTTCCAACCAAGCATGTTAAATAGTTGCAAATACTGCCAGTCATTAATACACTTACTTCTTAACATACATTCACAAGTATCATGCATTTGATAAGCATGACTTGATTATACATAAATATGAATGATAAAAAATTTCAATATAAATGCTTAACACTGCTGACTAACTCTAACCCTACACCCAATGCCCATGGTGTTTTATAAAAAAATCTTTAAAAAATTTAAAGAAGGTTATGAGATATTTAATTAACATTAATCACAGAATCAATCATCCAAAATCATTTATCACTTCCATAATATCAAGAGATTTAAAAATCAAAGGCTCTGTCTATTAGCAATAAACAAAACCTTAATACATCTTTTAATAGATCACACTAGCAACATAAGTTCCTGAAGAGCTCTAAATGTTTTTAATCTCTATTATCAAGTTGAAAACTAACAAAACAGTATCCTATAAAGTCAAGAAAATAGCTGCAGGAGGTGGTAAATTATACTTTATTTGTTTCCGATTCAATGGAAGACAAAAACAACCAAATCTGTTCAGCACTAAACTAAAAGCAAACACATAATTAAATCTGAATATTTGCAAAAGAGTCATGAACCAAATTGAAGAAGGGACTAATGGGTCATGAAGATTCAGTACTCCAACTTTGTTTTAACATTCATATTTTTGTTCCCCTGTTAGCTAATCAATCATTAAGTATGGTTATGGGTGATTCCAAGCACACCCACTTAATGATGTCACAAGATTATGGGTAGGCGTAGTTGATCTCATTTGGGCTTTCCTTTTTGATGTGGGTGTGCAATTGGTTCTTAATGGGAGGGGAAGGGATTGGTGGTTATTGCCTTATTTCCTTTTGAAACAATTCATTTTCAAAACAATCTCTTTAATTCTTTGAGGGGAAAAATATATTTCCATTGTTTGCATTTAAGTTAAGTTTAATTAAGTTAATTAAGTATTAATTGAAAATATGTATTATTCCTGGTAATTATAACATTTGTGCAATGACTGTTTCATGATTGGTAATAATTCCAGAATAATTTAAATAATTACTTTTGAAAATATATTTCAGTTTATATAAAAAAGGTATGAATACCTTTTCCTACTACTCCTTTTCAATATTTTACTAGGCTATTGTAAAATATGGAATTTCTTCTTCTGAAGCCATTCTTTATTAGATCTGTTAGTATGTCTTGCTGCAAGAGCAATTTTCAGTTCAGCTTAAGGTCACGGACAATGGTCAGACATTCTTCTCTAGAATTTTCTTATACAATGCATAATTCATGGTTGTGCCACTGATGACAAGCAGTCCAGGTCCTAAGATAGCAATGCAACCTAAAAACAATCGCACTGCTTGACAGTTGGGATGATATTATTCTGTTTAAAAGCAGTGTTTGGTTTTAATCAAACATAACTTTCTCATTGAAGCGAAAACGTTCTGCCTTTTATCTCATCTGTCCAAAGAACATTGTTTCCAGAAGCCTGATGGATCATCTATGTAATTTTTCCATGAAAACCATTCTTGTTCAGTCATTTTCCGATATCTTAGTCATTAACAGTTACATTAGGGAGAGTGACCTGCGGTTCCTTAGATGTTATTCTAGGGTTCTTTGTTACTTTCATGATGATTTTCTGGTTTGTTCTTTTTGGCAGGACGGGGGATCCTAGGTAGAATGACAGTGGTCTTCAACTTTCTACTTTTGCAGACTATCTGTCTAACAGTGGATTAGTGGAGTCCAAAATCCTTTGAAATAGTTTGTAGCTCTTTCCAGACTGATGACCATCAATAACATGACTTGTTTCCACAAATCTGTATGGCGAATACCAAACTCGGAATTATATATAGGGTGAGGCCTTCCAAACTCAGCCCCGAAAATCTGCCTAATTATTAATACACCGGGTTCTAATTATTTGCTTAATTGAGCTAATGAAATTTGGGGTTAACCTACTTTTTAAAATCCACTGTACCTTAATTGCTCATTGTTTAATTCATACATATTTTATTTCCAAGAGACATGGAATTGGTTGCTGTATAAAGTATTGGATATTTACATAAAGATATAGATTTTGGTTCACGACGGGTATCGTATTAAAACAATGAAATCTCCAGATTAATCTTTGGGTTCACAAACTTTTTCTCAGCACTGTACATCTACAGTACACTGGGCAAACGTTCGAGGTCAAATTCCTTCCACAAGGGGGGTACCTTTCAAGCGGAGATGACGGCACCGAAAATATTTGGCTCGTCCTCTCTTTAAAGCCCTGGCCAAATCCGAAGACAGTACGTACAGTTCT